ATACTGTAAGGAGATCATGTACTGTAGACTCCACTGGACAGGTGCTGAAGGCCAGAATCAAGCCTGGAATCTGATGTTATGAGGAAGTATACTTACACAAGGGAATCTTCTAAAATGTCATGTTAAACAGACCGCATGAGGAAAGCTTTTCGCATAATTTAGAACAACACATTTTCACAATACATTTTAAACACTTATAAGCTTTAAATGAGGGGACAATAGATGAAATCCAACGGATGGTTTGACTATGGAAGAAAAGTGTAGCTATTCTTATTGGAAGACCATATTATTTTCACCAAAACCGGTTTGGAATAAGTATTTGGAATAAATAATTATGTAATATATTTGAAGAATCCTAAAAAGGTTAAAAGGAGGAAGTCATTCAGCCTTTTTGGTTGTTAGTAGTTAAGCCAAGGATCGTATCAAGATGTTTCTTGAAGGAAGATAGTATATCGATATATAACAACATGCCCAAGTACAATATGCCCATAAAGTGCCACCTTTTTTAAAAATTAAATCCATGCTGTTTTTCACTTTATTGGCTCCAGATAAATATGTCACTTGGTAGAAAATGATACAGTATACAGTCAGCAATTAACCTTGATAATAAAGGTATTCTTCTCACAAAATTAAAAATTTAGCTTTTTAAAGCTGGCTTTTTAATTAATATCTATCACTATTAATTACAAAATGTGTTCAAGCATTTTTTCTCCTCCAAATAACGTGTTCTTAAATTGCATCTTTTACAGCCCTCTCAGTCATTGCAATACTTGAGTACAGCCAGCAATGAGCCACCTGATTATTGAAAACAGAATCGAGAAGATCGTTGCATTTAAAATACCGCATTGTGGTATATTGGAAGTTGCCTTATGAGACCTCCAGATTTCAATGAGATCAAAAGTGGAGTTCAGACAACAATACCAGCACCAACAAATATTCACACAGTGATGCTACCAAACTCGTTTGTGACGTACTGTATTTAATCATTCTAAAATCACACTACTTCCACGATGTTGGCACACACATTATTTAAAACAGAAAAATAGGCCCTGATATCGACCACTATTCTACAGCACAACGAAAGCTTTCAGCATATTTTTTTCTAAACGCGTTTTCTTAAGTATGAACCATTCTGCTTTCCATCGTGCGTTATCTGTGGGTGACGTGTGTTTTAAGCTTGTGCTTGTCTGTGTTGAGCGAGTCTATACTTTCTCCATAAACAAGTAGATAAAGTAAAAGCAAAATAAAACAGATCTCATGGCTGCTGACTGGGAAGAAATCAGACGTCTGGCTGCAGATTTCCAAAGAGCACAGTTTGCAGATACCATTCAGAGGTAATAACTGCATGCAATTAGAATTCTTAGTGTAACTTATTGTTATTGTATGTATGATACTTTAATGGGAAGTAATCTTTATTAAATGCGTATATACAAATATGTGTGTGTATCGAGTAGTAAAACATGTTTTACGATGGTGCTTGGATTTAATGAAAAATATCTAAGTATTATTTTTATTACAAGCAAAAGGTGATCTTTGTCAGTCTAATTTACTGTCTTGTAATGTGTCACTTTAAATAAGTGCTTATTTAAAAACAGAGAAGCGACAGTCCACTAGAATAACGACTACGTATTTATCACTGTTATAATTTTAGTTCTATTGCGCGATAAGTTGAAGTTGTATTCCAGATGTAATGTGGTTTAGCATCTGTAGCTAAATGTTTCATTCGTGTTACTGAGTGAATTCCCAGAATTCCTAGCCCCACGTGATCACGTAGCTGACGCTCGAAGCGTTTTAAAACGGAACATTTTCTTCTCCAAAACCCAGTTTGTGTATTTGTTTCTGTCTTAGTGTTATTTTAACATCTACCCTTTTAAATGGGATCTATTTTCTCGAGAATTTCGATCTAAATTGAAGACAGGGAATTATATTTTATCCAGGCTTGACATTTGACTCACATGTACAAAATATCATAAAACCATTCTTCCACCTCAGGAACATCTATAGACTACATCCTACATGGTCTCTGACCTAAGGCAGGTGTCATTTAAATAGGTTAGAATTTTATTATTGAATGTCAGATTTCTACTGGTGGGATTATCTGTGGGAGTTAAAATCTGTCTAACACAAAAAGGGAGGGCTGCTCTGTATATACTGTATTTTTAATAATCATTTGATCATAAACAGAAGGTATGAGTGACCTGAACTATGTTGTGGTGCCTTTGGTGTGACAAGATTGTATCACCACAGCACAGTGTTATATAAAATGCAGTATTTATGAAGTTCAGAGGGCTAAAATGCATATCTTGGGGTGCTCAATAATTTACAAGGTCAATGGTGTGGCAGTGAAAGCCTGAGTTTGGGCCAGAAAAGGGGCGTCTTTGAAGTGTATGACATCATTATGAAGAAGTTATTTTACAGCCAAAGAAGGTTCCACAGCCAAAATGTTGTTTCTTTTCTTCTCTTTTCAGCATGGAATAAACCTTTACTTGGTCATTTTTAACAAGCCACGTTACAACACATGACATCATAGTGTCAAATCTGCATGCTACATTTATACATGCTTAATTATTTCAAGTGATTTTTAAATGTTTCCACTTCATAAAATGCTATTATTGAGGCTGGTTATCTGGTGGGAGTTGTCACACATCTTTTTCTTCATTTCATTCAGATTATCTGAGAGAAACTGCATAGAGATTGTTGCAAAACTAGTTGAAGACAAGCAGTTAGATGTGGTTCACACTCTGGATGGTAAGGAGTACATCACTCCTTCGCAGATCAGCAGGGAGATCCAAGATGAGCTTTATGTCCATGAAGGTGAGTACAGTCTCTCGACTATGTCCATTTGCTCAGGAAGACGAGGCCGCTCATGTATAGGAGACAGGAGGAGTTTGCAGGAAAATGCATCAGATGTATTGCCTAGCCCTGGCATCACTGGTGGATGCCCTCAGAAGTCCATGTGAAACACCTGCTTTGCATTTGAGTGCTAACAAAATAGTGAATTTATTCTGTATTCTTCAATTTAACCTTGATTCCTTCATCCTCGATTGTAAAATACAAAAGATTGACAGTTAAAATACACGTTTTCTGGCACATTATGTTTGTTTGGGGTGGGTGGGGGTACATGAAATATCTTTTCATCTTGACACTTAACAGAATCTAGCTCACACTAATAACATTAACTTTTAGATTTAGGACAGAAGAAAGGCTATGAATGCTATGAGGCTGTTTGCCACATATTGTTCATTTGTTTGCCAGTGGCTAACTAACCCAGGGGGTCATGTCCAGCTGTTTGTTGAAAGAAGTCAGGGTATTTCCTTCAACAACATGGCTGGGCAGCTTATTCCATACTGCAGCAACCATTTATGTACAAAAGTGTTTTTTCCTGTGGTTTCTGTTTCATTGTTTACTCTGAAGATGTACACAGGGATGATTTTTTGTCAAAACCCTTAAGGATTTTGAATACTTGAATGAGATGCTTTTGTAGTCAGTTTTCTCTGTCAAGGCTCAAACGATTTAGTTATTTTAGCCTGTCAGTGTAAGAATTCCCATGAAGCCCCATGTATCTTTGCCTCCATTCTTGAGACTGATTCTAATATTCCAAGAGATTGAGAAAATGTAACATGACGTTCCCTGAGTTAAATTCTTCGTGTTATATTGTTGATTATAGAATTTAATTTCTTTTGCAGAACAGTACGTTTTCAATGAGAGCCCTAAATGACAGCTTCTTAATTTTTTTCTGTCCTTATTTTGATAAAGCCCCTTGATGGCCATGTCACATTTGGTGACCTAAATTCAGGTTTCAGCTGTGTTTCCAACAGATTAATTGTGAAACTTTCTCCTTCTCTTTGGGAAAATAATCGCATTTAGCATATATTCAAAAGAGATTAATCCAGATTAAATGAATTGGAGCATCCCATACAATAAATCTGAAAGGCTTTAGATGGCTACATTTGTTATATCATAATGAAAAGGTTGTCACTGTTGCAGTGTGGAAACTTTAAGGTTTTCAAAATGTTTTTTCCATGCATAATGTTAGATGGATGGTTAGCATGACAGTTCATATAAGATTTGATTAAAAAGTACTGTAACAACTGTACCAACCATAAAGTCAAGTTAAAAAAAAAACTCTTCCTTTTCTCTTTTGGGTTCCAAGGATATTTAATCAGCATTGAGAAAAATTGTACTATTTTTGTTAATTCCTTCTTGATCCTCATGGATTACACAGCACAGCACATTTTTGCGAGATTTTGTTTTGGCCCATCCATCTGTCTCTCAAATTGTAACATACATTGTTCAGTAATCTGTATTTCTAACTTATGCATATTCCACTATTCATGAAGCAGGCAGAAAAGGTTTATGGTCACTCCCTAAGGGAGACTGGCAGTGCTCTGTGTTTAAATGTGATGTAGCTACTGCTTGTTTATTATAAGAACGTTCAGTTTTTCCTTTCTAGTATGATGAAATAATATCCAGCCACCCGTCCACTTTCGAACTGCTTCATCGAATTCGGGGTCACAGGGGAGCTGGAGTCTATCCCAGCCAGGCTGGGTATACCTTGGACAGAACATTAGTCCATCGGAGGGCATACACAGACATATCACACCACTATTAAGTCAGTTAGCCTACAGTATTTATACATCTTTGGTCTGTGGGAGGAAACCAATGCAAACACAGGGAAAACATATAAACTCCATGCATATTGCAACACAGGTCTGGAATTGACCCCAGGGCCTCAGCACTGTGAAGCAGCAATGCTAAACACTTCAGTCATTGTTGAAATAATACAAAATCAATTTAAAAGTACCAGAGGAACAAAAAATATATCAGATGTTTACATAAGGTTCCAGGGTTTAAAATGCCATCATTGGTATGATTTATTCTGTTAGTGCAGTACCTTTTCCTGTCTCCTGGTCACTGAACAGAATGAATCACTCTTTCAAATCAATTAGCAAAAAAAGAACATGTCATGGCATTCCTGGTTCATTTTGCATTTTAAAAGTTGCTGGTTTTAAAGAGTTCGTTTAGGTACGTTTGGCAAAAATAACAAAAAAGATTAAGTTCAAGGTATTGCAGACGGATACCATACATTTTACTGTATTTTAATACACCAGAATGTTAAACACAATATAAGAGGTTTGAGGAAAAAACACAAAAGTATCAAGTTAAACAGCAGTTAAATCACTCATGCTTCGTCTATAATCCTAGTTTTCATATGAATATTATTTTACTAAGTGCTTTGTTTCTCTTTTCTTTCGAAGGTCGGGTAAACATTGTGGATCTGCACCAGGTCAGTAAATCTTTCATTTTAATAGAGACATTACTCTTGATTCAGGGTGTTTGGTATAATTGAACCATACAGTTATTGAATTATATTGTGTAACATGTCTGTACTTATTTGGGCTTTCCGGCTTATTTCATAAAGTCGGCGTGCTTGACCTTATTTGCCATTGCATCTCTGTTATGCCCTTCCTAATCAATGGATACAAACCCGCTGAATTTGTGTGACCTCACCTCCAAGAATTGAAACATACTTGTACAGTAAAATCATTTCTTGGGTCATCCAGATTTTGTGTTTAGAATTGTCAGTAATCCTATAGATTTGCTGGTCTTGTCCTGGGGGCAGAGCAGTGGCACTAGGGGACGGAGCAGTGGCTCTGTGGCTGGAAGGTTGCTGGTTCAAATCCCGCAGCCAGCAGAGGAATCCTACTCCCTTGGGCCCCTGAGCAAGGCCCTTCACCCCAACTGCTCCAGGGGTGCTGTACAAAGGCTGACCCTGCACTCTGACCCCAGGCTTCTCTCCCTGTCTGTGTGTCTGTGTCTCATGGGGTATGAGAAAAGACTAATTCTTATGCAAGAAATTGTATATGGCCAATAAAGTGATCTTATCTGATCAATACCATGTTTTGCCTTAAACAAGGGAAATGGACTTACTGGAAACTATCGTGTGGGTTTCTTACATTTCATTTTTGGATATTCGCAGATTATAAATGTGGACTTGTCCCACATCGAAAGCAGAGCCAGTGAAATAGCAAAGTCAGTCAAAGGGGTTCAGCTGGTCCTGGGTCAGTTAATTGATGAGTAAGTACACGTAACAGATTCAAATTATTGTAGTATGGTCTCCTGTTTTATTCAACAGATCAGGTTTATGAGGTACTGTTGATATTCTGAAGAAAACTGGGATTGTTTCAAGAAAGTGTCCCAGAATTACCCAGTATAAACCCAAATGCCCCAAAATCTGTTTGGCTTTTTGTACTAAAAGCTTTTAAGATCACTTGAATATAGAAATAGCAGCCTTTTTTAATATCTTAGGAGATGAAAAATGCTGTAAAACACAGAGTTTTAAAGATCAATTTTCCAGTAAAAGAAACCATGTTGTTAAGGTTTGTGTTGTGACATTGAGCTTTCAGAATTGTCATTGAAGCTGCCTCATTGTTTGAAAAACATCCAGAAAAAGTCACGTTATGCTTTTTGTTGCCAGCATCTTCTGAGATCATCTGTCACTCTTCACACATTGAAAAGTCTTACAATGTAAAATAAGCCTACATTTAAGATCACTGGATTTGAGTTCTCTCAGCTTCTGAAAATTGTGGCATCACAATGATAGAATTATATATTGTGCTGAGACCTTGATCTCTAAAGATTCTGTATCCGAAGTATTCATAATCTTTGTAACCCATTTCTTGATTTCTGTAGTTTAATAATAATATTATAAAAGCACTATGTCAGTCTGCATCCTGTCTTTTTCTGTAGACTACAATGAGGTTTTCTGTATAGTGATGCTGAAGACATTCCTTTCAAAATAAATAGAAATAAATAAATAAGAAAAACACCTCAATGCACCAACAGTAAAAATGTCCTGCGACTGTTTTGTTGCTTGCCTTTCAGTAAGGCTAAAAACAACAGAATGCAAATTCCACATAAGATTTTATTATCTTTTGCTACAGTATATAGACATTTTACCAAATTGATGTCTCTCTGCGCACTTATGATTTTAGTTCTCATTACATATTTTTGCCTGAAAGAATCATCAACATTGATGTCCCTTTAGTGTCGTCAGAGCTTTTTTGGCAGTGTTACATAATTAAAAATGAGACATGTTACAGGCCCTTTGAGAGGAGGCCTTTTGGCCTGTATGGACCATGTTGTAGTTAGTACAGTAGGTAATTTTTCCAAGGACGTCATCCAGATGTTTCTTGAAAGAACCCAGGGAATCGGCTTCAACAACATGGCTGGGCAGCTTCTTCCATGCTCCCACAACTCCTTGTGTAAAGAAGTGCCCCTGTTCTCAATTTAGATTCACTCCCATGTGATTTTCCCTCATGTCCTCTGAAGTAATTGTAATATTAGTGACTGTGGTAATTCTTTAAAAAATAGTCAAATTAAAGTGTCATTAAAAGGTCAAATTGGTAGTCATAAATCTATCATCACTGTTAAAATTATTTGTTTTTTCCAAGTTTTGTGAGACATGGTTTTTAACAGTGATAATTTGCTCTATTTTGCAATATTTACATTAAATATTGTTCAATCAAGTAGGATTTATGGTAAATGTTAACTGAATTTGGATAGAATAAAACATTAAAAACAGAATAAAACCTTATCTGTGCTAAAGTGTGAACTTAATTACCTCAGTAAATAGACTATCAAGCAGTAAACAGTTTTGTAAATAAACATTAAACTGTTCTGCACAATGTCCCCTGTATGTTTCAGAAACAGTGCAAATGTGTGTATGTAGACTCAAATGTGATCATCCTGTGAGGCCAGCTACTGTATGTATTGCTGCAAACCAAACTGAAACCATAATTTGTATGAAACTGTTTTTTGATTTTAAAGAATATTGTAAAATCCCTCGGTGTTAAGTATGAATATCAAGCTTGTTTGTTTAGTGAGGAGTTCTTATTTGTTTCCTCAAAATCAACTAGAAATTACCTAGATCGCCTTGCAGAAGAAGTGAATGACAAATTGCAGGAGGCTGGCCAGGTGACTATTGCAGAGCTTTGCAAAACCTATGACCTCCCTGGGGATTTCTTGACAGAGGTAAGAAATGAACTATGTTAAAATAACCTTCTTGTGTGTGTGAAAATGTACTTTGTTAAACGTATGATCTGCAGGGGCAGTCTGTTTTGTATTACTTACTGTGTAGATGCAAGATATGTACACTAATTTAGAGAGCAGAGATGACATATTGCAATACTGGAGGAGTGTCCTTATACACCATTCTTGCTGAATTTTTTTCTGTGTTTGTTTGACAGTGGCACTGGTAGAAAGGAGAGTTGGTTTTACCAAATAATTACCAAATAATTTTGTTTCAAGGACTGAATCATAGGACTGAATCAGGCGTATGACCATGTGCCTATTGCTTACTCTTTTAAACACTACATACTGCATAACAGAATGAGACTTTATCTTCATATGAATACAGTAACAGGTTTTGTGCCCCAGAGAGCTGAGATTGTAATTGAATCTCAGCAGGGACAGAGGAGAGCTCCACCAGTTATACATAAACAAGCAACTGACTAAAAATGAATTAATATTTCTAGATTTCTAGGTTAAAAAGGTTTGCTTTACTGTCATAATGTAAGTGACCTACTTCAGCAATAATTTGTTCACCCAGGTACAATGTCATTTTTTTCTGTATTGAAGTATTTAACTACTGTATCTAACAGTTCTGGATAGTTTTATAGATATATTTATAATTGGATTTTAATGTCTCCGATCTTGGCACATGACAGCTGTCTTGTGAAAAAATAGGACTTATGTTTTATAGGTTAATCTTAGGTTTTGACAAAAGTTTTGTTGAATGATATATGTCCAAGATATAATGAAGATGCTTTAAAACGCAGTACATCTCCAGAAATAACTGAGGATTCAATACAGATGGTAGCTTTGATTTGCTCTTTAAAAGTAAAAGTTCATTAAAATACTAACATATGTTGAAGATATACAAAAATCTGTGACATTTCCATGCTTACCCTTAGCCATCCGTGAATTAACAAAGCAGATTTGGTGTGGAAATTAAGCTTGCCGGTATCATAATTGGATTACATACACTCTAATCGATGGTTTGTTCCTGCTGACAGTTTACCGGCTCAAAACTAAACAGACACCACAACTGTGTTGTTCTGGTTTGGTTTTTAGTAAGTGAAAAATAGTGACAGTCTCAAATTCCAGATGGCATGAAATTTGTGGCCACTGTTTCAGTCATGCAGAGAAAAATCTCCCAAGACTAGCCATCTGCCACATGACTGACATTTTCATCTATGAAAGTAAACAGTTGCCAGAAATCAGTGTGGAGTACATCATAGTCCCTAGAAGAAGAAGAATTTGAATAGTCATAAATGTCATATTTAAAATGCATTTTTTAAAATATAGTGGTGATGGACTGTCAGGTTTTGTTTTAAATTGTTCATTTTATCAGTACAACTAGATTAATGTAATTAAAAATTGTAAGTGACAGCACTTGAATAAATGAAATATTATTTATTGAAATACTGAGTCATAAATGAATAAAGGTATATGCCAATTTCATAGTACAAAAGTGCCTGGACACATGATGAAAATGTAGATGAATTTAAAGAACGGTGAACTTTATAGACTCTAGAATCACAGGAATGTTATTAACTGTACTGTGTTTATATGTGTTGTTTGATCATTTGTTGTCTGTGATATAAGGCATCTGAAGTTATAAAAGTGCATAATATATATTGTATCATTAATTTATCTGTTTAAGTTTTCTAATTCCTTAATTGTAGGTGATTTTTTACATATGTTTCTCATGGTGGAATGTGGGTTGGTTGTTAAAATCATTTTTTAGAGCAGTTCAAAGGTTAGAATTAAATGATTTTATTGTGAAAATTCTGTAATTTCAAGTTTTTGTCTGTATATGCAAACAGATGGACATCTTTTATCAATTTCTTTAGATTTTCTCACATTTTTGGAATTTATAATAAAGCATATTTTTTCTGCTTAAGCCTGGTGAACATAATAATTTAGATTAATATTTGAAAACGGAAAATGACTGAATGTGCGAGCAGATTGTGTTATGTGGATCTTTACACTCCTAGATTATAGCTCAACAACAATCTTTCCTTATTTCCTTATTTGTATCAATATTTTTATTTAATTGGTATATATTATTTATATTGATTTTATACATATAAATTTGTTTTATATTTATTTACATTCACTGGCCATAAATATCAACTTACATTTTTTTTAAACCATTACTAAACCATCTGTGTTTTTTCTCTTGTTTTGTGTTTATGTTTATTGAAGTAGTTGTGTGTCGGTTTTTTTATGTCATAGGATTACATTTTCAATGATTAAGAAAAACAAATCACGTTATTTGGCCACTAGATGTCAACAAGTAACTCGCCCCGAGTGACCATGTTGTTAACTTCTGCCCTTTGTTTTCAGTGGGACGGCTGTTTAAATATCCAAAATATTATTACCCTTTCACCTTTAATACTATTAAATGATTAAATACTATTTGTGAAAAAAATCTTAGATAAATAATAAATTATTGTATATTACGATGAATTATATATTGTTATTGAATATATAATGCAATATTAAATGTATTAATATTAAATAGTATTAATACTTTCTGAGATATAATGACCGAGATATCTGTTAAAAAGCATTCGTAAAGAACTTGATATATGTACGGAATTTCAAATAGGTTTAATCAAAACTCGCAGTTACCAGCCCCAACATATGTACTGTACCAAGGGACTCTGACGGAGAAATGCATGGGCTGGCGTGTTGTCACTAACTGTGCTGTCATAATTTAACTCCAAGGTGCTGTCAGAGCGTCTTGGCAGAATCATCCAAGGTCAGATGGATCAGTATGACAGAGGGGTGATTTTCACCCAAGCGTTCGTGTGTCGGCACAAGGCACGGATTTGTGGACTGTTCAGTGCAATCACTCGGTATGTGTAAGGTTAAAGCAAACTCTTTGTCTTTATTTTTGGGCGTTGTGTTTACTGCGAATACTTACTGTATCGCCGTATATTGTAATGTTATTTGACAAGAGCTGATAATATCTGTAGTTGAGAATATTTTCTGCTCTTTTTGTGTGTTATTCAGAATCTCTGTCACTTCCATGCTGCAATTCTTCAATTCATACTCAAATGCAAGTAAAATTGCACTTTTGACTCATAAAAATGATTGAACTGTGAGTAGTGAAAATTAAAACTAGTGCTCTGTGATACCTTAGTATCACAATGCCCTGGGAGAATAAAACATGCTCCTATATCAGTCTCCTGTATATTAACAAGATGGGAAGAAGTAGTTCAGGTAGGGAGCTGCGTCAGCATGTGTAGGCTGCAAAGGAACAAGTAAAGGTTTATTCCATGCTTAAAAGAGAAGAAAGGAAACACAACATTTCTGCTGTGGAGCCTTCTTCGGGTATGACACCTAATCAGACTATTACTTGTTCCTTATTAACAAGATAGTCTTAGGCTGTCGATGAAAGTATGATAAAAGTCTCAAATAGGAAGTGATTGTGTACCCAGCAATATTTAATAAGCAAGTCAATATCTTGGTGATTATATTGCATACAGAAAACGAATACAATTTTTGTAATAAACCAGCTTTACCAATGTTTTTTTTTTCTTTTTAGGCCTGTCCCTGTGAATAATTTAATCAGCCTGTATGGATTTCAGGAGCACCTTTTGTACTGTGAGTTTTGTTGCTTCATTATCACCTTAAAATAGGGGAGTAACTGTGGTTTAAAACAATGTTAATTGGCTGTAAAGTTATATAAAGTTCATTATGTGGCATTTAAGAACAGTAAAGTCTGTTGTTGTCATTTATTTATTTCTAATAAATTCAGAATGTGGAAAAACCATTTCAATGAAATTAAATTTTGTGGCAATCTCTTTGAATATCTCAGATATTATTTTTCTTTCAGTGTTTAAATTTTCATAACGGTTAATTTCTAGATTTTTTTTTCCAAACAGCTGTTATGTGGAATGTATATTTAGTTTCCTCATTTGGAGAGATTTGTCTTAGACTTCTCCCAACCGAAACAAGGCAGATATCCTCTATAATGGTTTTCTTTAAAAATTGAATCTACCTCAATTTATTGAGTATGAATTTTACTGCTTGTCCTCAAGAGGCAGATCTTTTTAACAAGGTTAGTAATAAATGTAGGCAAGTAATGTCATTTCACATTATAAGCTCTTTATTTTTCTTAATATAAAGGCGCGATGTAATGAAACAGATTTTGTGAAAATGCCTTTCACCGTTCCAGTATCACCTGTTAATTGTCTTGCTGTCCAGCTGTTTTGGAAGAACTTGTGAGCTGTGGACGCCTGAAAGGGACGGTGGTCGGTGGGAGACAGGACAAGGCCGTCTACATTCCGGATATCTACACCAAAACACAAAACAACTGGATCGATTCCTTCCTGAAACAGAATGGTTATTTAGGTAATCAGTCATTGAGAGCAGCACCCTTCTAGGCTAGGGTATGTGTTAAGAGTGGACTGACACGATGAGTTAGGGGTAGGGATATACATTATACCTAGACTTTAGTTATTACAGTGTGTGTAGGGTTCCAATTATTACAATGTGTGTAGGGTTCTTATAGATGGTCATTTTTGCTCTTACATTTACAGTACAACAAACACCAAGCTGATTTTGAATCACACTTATAAAAACTGTTACCAAGTTCAAGAAGTTGCAGAATGAAAGATTTATTGGAGGCAAAAAAAGTACCAAAGGGAAGAGACGGATATAGGTTACATGGCCCTCTGCCTCTCATGCACAAGGTTTTCTTTTGAGCAAACTAAATAAGGAATATGTATCTTTTCTTCCAAGTGCCTGTAAACTCCTCAGTGCAAAAAAATAGCTCCTAATTGCTTGCTTACATGAAAGATGCTATGACTACAAGCTAATTCTTCATTCTCAGGTGTAATTAACAATTCACAACCTCAGTGTTGTATTGAATGGGTTTTAATGAGAACAGTGTGCACCACTTAATAGCAATAAGGTTATTCCTTAAATATGTTTTTTTAATAGACACGAAAGAAATCAGTTTAATTGCACATACCGATTCATGTTGATCATGCCTGAAATAAGTAATTTAATTATACTTGATTTTCATTTAATTGTGATTGAACAATGTTTTCCGACGAGAGAACTGTCACGTTTGGAGAAAGTAATCTGTAATGTATGCCTTCTGTTCTCTCACTGTAACATATGATTGCCACCAAAAGTGTATTGGATTGCACAAAACAGTGCAGTGGTGTGTTTTTATCTTAAGTTATCAGACAATCAGGTACAATAGTTTATGCTGGCTCACAGACTCTTAAGAGCTTGAAAATAGCTGTGTTTCTAACACGGGGATCTTTTTTCAGTGAAGGACTTTTCACATACAGTAAATAGAGGCTTTCCTTTTCATTTGTGTTTTCTTATTTTATTTTTGTATGGTGCAAGATCTGGCTAGGAGTAATTGGTTTCTGTAAATTCCATTGTTTTTACTCAAGAAATTCTTATTTACATATTTTTTTTAATTTTTTCAAGTTACAATTCAAGTTACATATCTTATTATTTTCAGGTTATATTTTGTAGACCACAAGATTATATAGGACAACAGACATAATTCATTAATAGTAGCTCTTTTTGGGAAGGAGATGTGGCTTCTTCAACCTGAGTGAAATTTTGAAAAAATGTTATACTTTGAGTTTAAACTAGACATTTTTCAAATTGCACTGTCAAAATTAATTAAAAGAAGGATGCTTTGCACACTTAAACTAGTAGTTGACATTGAGATAAAATTTTTCATATTTTGCCTAATAAGGTGATTATCCCCTACGGAGTTGTAGTTGGAATTTAGATGTTGAAACCTTGAAGCTATGACAGATTTTGTGTTGGATTGTGTGATGAGAGCTCCAAGTGATAATATCTCACAGTGTATGAAGATATAATTAATATGCTATTGCATATGAATTTGATGTGATGTGGGCCACGCAATTTAAGATATCAACATTTATGACTACATAACTGTACATTAGAGCTCCAAAGATCATTGGACTCAGTTTCGGCCTCAGTGTATTACTCCTTGTCTTTCTTATCACTTAAAGAATGAAAATAAAATGACTCAAAAATGACATAAACATGATAATTGTTTTGCCTTTTCTATAGAATTTGATGCTTTGACCAGGCTTGGGATTCCTGATCCACTGAACTACATTAAAAAACGGTACAAATCCGAGAAGCTTTTATTCCTTCGAGCCGCCTGTGTTGGTCAGAACATTGTTGATCAGGTTGAGGCTTCAGTGGAGGAGGCAGTCAGCTCGGGTACCTGGATAGATGTGCAGGTAATTGCCTGACGTTTGGATGGGTTTTAGGTCCTGCTTCTTGACTTTAATTTTTCTGTAATGTCTTCAGATTTGGCATAAAACTGCGTGTTAAATATGAAAAGAAGAGTAACTGGAGAAAAATTGTATCTGTAATTCCAGTCACAAGATCTTAAATATTTAGATGGTATTGTCTATAAAAATGCTTAATCAGGAATATGCTAGAGAGGACTTCTGATTTGACTCTAGGTTTAACTTAATAAAATCTTTGAAATATTGTTTTATGATCTAGACTGCAGTTTCTAGATTTTGCATGCATTAATTACAAATTAGCAATACTTATCAAAAATGTCATCTCTGTCTTCATTACAGCCAATGTTACCTAGCTGTCTCTCTTTAGATGACACTGGCATTTTGGTAAACCAAGTTATGAGAACCAGCAATGTACAGTCATCTGCCAGGATCCTCAATGGAAGCATTGTAGTCAGTGAGAAGTTTATAAGCAGCTGCATTTCTCTTTTTGACCAGTCAATGCGCATGAAGGCAGAAAAGGTAAGTCTTTCAAAAAGGTCTGTGGCAATTGTTTTCTATGACTATCTTACAGTTCTGACATTTCTTCATTTTTGTTTGTACTGTATATCATTGGTTACTCTAGTTCTAGTAACAACCACTTCTTTCCTTAGCATGTTTTTGCTGTTGACCTTCCATTTACATGATGCATGAACGGAATAGCTTAATAGCTATTCCAGTCTGATTTGATTACATTTTTAATGCATCTGTCATCATTTACCAGTCTTTTTTTCTCATCTTTTCCTTATTTCTTGCTGCTGCCCACCCGTATCCCATGTCGGTTAGTGCTAATCTGCTCGCAGCATTTCTGCCTGGCTGGAGGTACTAATTCAGTTCTCTCACCTGAACGCCTCCATCTTCCAGGAAATGAAGAATAATCCTGTTTTTCTGATCACGGAAGAAGATATAAAGCAAGCCTCAGTTCTAGCAGAAAATTCAGCTCCTTCAAAGAAAGACAAGAGGGATGAAAGAAGGAAGAAAGCAGGAGGTGAGGAAAACAAGTTTGTTTAGATTTTTACTTTTTCCATATTTTAATTGGAGAATTTTGCACATTTTATGTCATTCATTGCCTGTTTCATAATCCTTTTTTTCTTTTCCCTAGAGGGCTCTGGAAGTGTCAAAGGAGGTGGTGGGGGAAATTCACGAGAGATCAGGATACGCAAAACCAAGAAGAAAGGCAGGAGGGAAGATGACAGTGATGAGGACACAGATGCTGCAACTCAAAGTGAGTTTATAGCTAACAGACTTGCTTTTGATTAACGGTGAAAATGTGAAGAAAATATGCTCATTTAGTGTCTTCCATTAAAGTGTAAGAGCAAGACTTTAAATGATTAAATAAATAATTGTACATTGATGAAAAATAGAGAATGACTGTGTATTTCCCTGACCTTCCAGGTGGAACCAGATCAGCTGTTTCAACTTTTATTTTACAATATTGAACATGTTTCCCCAGAACAATACGTTTAATGTGAGGATGGTCCTGATCTGAAACTAACCATGAGTTACTGTGAAAAAACACTAATTTGTTTGAAAACCATGTCCAGCATTATTTAAATTAATCCGAAAAAGATGTTTGTGATTGAATATCAGTGGATTGGCCCCTTTTTAACCTGACTTTAAATGAATTGGCTTTATTTTGTAACCGTTATTGGTTTATTTGGCGTAATTAAGCCATTTACAAGTGTTCCTCAGCTAACGACCTCGACCAACATAAATTCGATTGAACCCAGATTTAGAAATAGGATAAGTCCTCAACCAGCATGCTCCATTTGTTAAATTTTCCCCATCGTATGTTCTGGAAAGGGCAAGGAGACTGGATCACACAACCGCTTAGGCTGTGTCAGAAGCACCTAGATATGTGCTAGGGCTACTGATGAAAATAAGAGAGCTGGAAAAGTAATAATAATAATGTAATGTTTCTTTATTAGCCCTATTTCTTGCATTAGGAATTCATCTTTTTGCATACCCCAGCTTTTCTCCATGGAGACACAGACACACAGACAGGGAGAGAAGCTTGGGGTCAGAGTGCAGGGTCTGCCAATGTACGGCTCCCCTGGAGCAATTAGGGTTAAGGGCCTTGCTCAGGGGCCCAACGGAGTAGGATTCCTCTGCCGGCCGCGGGATTTGAACCGGCAACCTTCCAGTCACAGGCGCAGATCCTTAACCACAGAGCCACCGCTCCGTGGTGATGAGTCTAGATGTGTTTAGGCCGTACGAACAGAATGAGCAAAAATATGATATTGCCCATGCTGTCAGCTTGAACAAAGCAACCTTGCACACTTTTTGTGCGAATAAGGAGAAAATTAATGTAAATGAGTGCTAAAATTGGTTAAATATTAAAATGTGTATTGATTAAATTTGTCTGCACTTAGTCATTTTCTCTTCATACTCATTTCATGCTCTTACTTCATTTCTCCTCAACATACATATCACTAGCTTATACATTACAAAGGCAAAAACTAAACAAATGAACCAAAATGCAGTCATAATAAAGCAGTAAAATGTTTAAAATGTTGATTTTGAAGGGGAGCTGGGACACATCCCCCTTTATTTTATTTCCCATGGGAAATTTGTGTCAAACTAGTACAACCACTTGACAAGAGACTTTTCTAGAAATGTGTCTTTTGTGTTAACCTATACTGTATTTCTTTGTTTTAAAGATCGAAACAAGCAACAAGAGGTGAAGTTCATGTCTCAGGAAGAAATTGAAGGGGTGTTACAGAAGCACATCTGTGATTGTCCAGAAGACATGATATCTGAGCTCGCACAGCATTTAATTAGGTTGGTATTTTATACTTTTCAGTAAAAGTGTGGTGCAACAAAATTAAAATGTAAAGTATTTTTGTGTGCAGAAATACTGTATGTTCAACTTGTAATGTCTTCTAATTATAACACTTCATAGAAATTAATTTGAGTTGGTCATTTCAAAAGAAATCCCCTTTTAATGATGGGTAAAAATAACAATGAAGCAACAATTGAGATACTTGACAGAATAAAACAAGCTGTACGAGATTTTATTGCCCATATAGAAGTTCAAGAAGGAGCTGCGTCAGCACACGTAGGCTGCAAAGGAACAAGTAAAGGTTTATTCCCTGCTGAAAAGAGAAGAAAAGAACAACGTTTCGGCTGTGGAGCCTTCTTCAGATGTCCCCTTTTCTTTTCTTTTTAGCTTGGAATAAATCTTTACCTGTTATTGTCCATAATATTACTCCATTATTTATAGTTGAATTCCAACACTCTTCGTGTTCACAACACTATTAATAATACAGTAATACAGATAGGTGCTTATTTGAAAATGCCATAATACGTTTTGTTTGCTTTCAGTTGCTCAGTTTCTGAAGGAGATATTGTAATGTGATTTGAATAATGAACCTATTCCCATACAGTCTCTCCTGCTCCAAATACTTATAGTACCAAGTTGTCTTTCTAAAAAAACCTTCTGATTAATTAATACTGTCAAGTGGTACTCCTTTCAGTTCAACATTATCAATATTTTAGTCAAACTGAAGAGAACCACAATAAAACAGATATATTTTAAATCTTTAAGCAAACAAGATCTTTGTACATTAAGGTATAAAGTGAGTAGCTGTTTGTTTATAAGTTAAGGTTTATTTCCTGTATAGTAGAAGAAAAAGAAAGGTTGCTGTTACATTTTCTCAGTAATGTTGACACTGCATAAGATTACAACAATCAAAGCTGAAGTTAAGAAATTGGTCAATTAATACATTTCTTTATTTTTTAGACCACTCGCCAAAATGTACCAGGATGTGGTCCATACGGTTTTTATGTCTTCCACAAGTTCTACCACTGGAGTCAGCAGGAAACAGAGTGTTAAAGATCTACAGGAAGAGATCAACATTCTTTACAACAATATTAGGCTATTTGAAAAAGGAACAAAACTCTTTTCGGGTACCAAACTTTTTTTCTGAAAAGTTTGAATGTTATCAGCACATCACCCTGGTGTCTTTATAAAAACCATTACTTGTTCAACAGCCATTACTTGTTCAAGTTAGATCTTAGACTTTATTTTAATCATTAAGCTTTTCTTACATTTTCTCTTGAAACTAATTGTGTGGTGTTAGTGCAGTGGACAAGAGAGGTGACTCTGTATGACAAATCTGCCTATACTGTTAGCCTTTTTATTTTTATTAAAGGCAAAAACGTATTCTAATTAACTGATTTTATTTTTGCTGTGCTGCTTTGTTTTTTTACTATAACATTCTCAACTTTAATGCATGTTTAACCACTCTTTGGTCTGTTAGAAGTATCGCTTAGCTTTTTTTTTTAGCTATGATCACAGACAGTAATAATACTCTTGAACTACAAAGATTTATTCTCTGACTGAGACTGAACATTTTCTTTTTCAGATGATACTCAGGCTAATATTGCAAAGCATGTACTGAAGACCATGTGCACAGATGTTACCAACCTGCTGTTTAATTTTGTGGCTGCAGAATTAATGATGGCTTTAGAAAATTACAGCTCCATAACATACGAGGTTGGGAAATGTGTAATTTCTGTACATTTAAAGCAACAAATGTCACATTCTGCTATGTTAAGCATTTTGAGAGTTTTTTGTATATGCATGTTTAAAAGTTTTTGTTAATGTTTCTTCAGGTCAGGGTAAAGATTTTGGGAAAATTGCCTGAAGAAACCAAAGGTCCTCTGATGAAGCTTCACAACTCTCTGAATGGAAAAGTAAGATGTTGAGATTTTTTTTGTTTGTAGTTTGTAAACCTTGTGGGGAAAAATATTCAATATGGACAACATAAGGAACCAACTCCAGAAAATGTGTCCTCCTTTCTCCACCATTTGCCATAAAAGTATTTGAAAATAAGCTCTGGGCCATTTTTATTTTTTAGGTAATGAGGGTAAATCAAGAGCATTTAATCTCTAGATTGTAAATTTGTACTTTTTCTTAAAAATGCTCTTGTTTGTGCTTGTTGTTTCTCAAATGTACAGTATGCAGTGCAATACAAACATACTTTTTGTAACAATAGATTTTTGCAACAAGCTTTTAAACACATATATTCATGTTATGCCTTCAGAGATGACTATTGATGAACCAGTCATCTCTGAGGGCATAACATAACAAAACACTACTGATTTCAGCTGTAATCTCACATTTACTTACCACTGTTCTGATTAAATTATTTTAATTATTTTAAAATGTAAATTTCTCTTTTGCTCCTTGTAAATCTTTCTTGGCAGCTGCTTGTGATTAAAATAGAGTCCCTACTACAGTAAAAAATATATTTTTAAAGATATGTTTTAAAGGTATAATTGCTGAACTTAAATTAAATTCTCACCTAAAATTCAATGTTGTAGTACCAATTACAGTCCCAAAATGTAAAATAAAATTTTTAAATTCTCAAATTTAATGTGAATAAATTAGGCCTGTCAAGTCATTTTGTATTATTATTTTTTCTGCCTTACTGTATATATATATATTTATCCTAAACACAATAGTAACAACTTTGCTATCAATGTCTATTTAAACTGTATAGTTAAAGTTTATGTGAATATTCTTACTGACGTAGTCTTTTGTTGTACCTAAATTATTCATATTTTATTTGAAGAATGCACATTCTAAATACTGTATCTGCAGATTCATTAGCCTTCCAGGCATGGAGCTATCAAGTAACTGAAAGATTTTTTTTTTTTCTTCCAAAACATCAAAGTAGTGTCATCTGATGTAATCATAGAGCGGATCAACCCCAAATGTAGTAGCTACAGTATAGTGTCAAAGACATGGGTATTCACGTGTGATAAGATTTGTAGATCTGCATTAAGCAGTTCATTTAAAAAAATGTTTTCAAAAAGCATTCAAAACCCCTGTAGGAATCGCTGTACTGTTTGAATTGAAATTTGCACAACAGACATTGTCGAGATTATTTTTTACAGGTGCACCAGGTTATTATTTTTTATAGACATGCAGCTTGTACCGAAACCTACTGTTGTTAAAAACTGATAGAGTTATTTAACTTCTTCAACCTTGGCAGGCATCCTACATTAAAAAAAAGTTGTCATCCTGCATAACAAAATAGCAGCATCAAGTTGCAGATAAACATCATACTGTTACTATTCATAAGCTGTTTATCCAGTTAAGTCTAATCTTGCAAAGGAACAAGTAAAAGGTTTATTCCATGTTACATCACTTTCGCCTACTACCCTGTCTTTCTCACACTTGAAGAAGGCCCCACGGCTGAAACGTTGTGTTATCTTTCTTCTCTTTTCAGCAGGGAATAAACCTTTAGTTGTTCCTTTGCAGCCTAAGCATGCTGACGCAGCTACCCACCTGAACTACTAAATCTAATCTTGATAGGTATTGTCCTTGGGAAAATGCAGTTAAAATATGGTATAATACTGCTCCTGTATAAATCATGATGGCATGCTGGCCATCATCAGTCAAATGTGCCATTTAAACTGTGGTCTAATACAGTTTCATCATTGGCAGATATCATTTTATGCATCTGATTACCTGTAATGTGAGTAATTGTGTTGTGACATTAACCAGGATGTGGATTCCTGAACCTTATTTGCAAACAAAATCTCAAACTGTTCTTTTGCAGAACCAGTAAAGCAATTGATGTGATCCTCGGCAGATCTCAGCATTTCATACATCAATGTTGCAGCATGAGCTATTGTGATACATTTTGATATTACAATCAATTTTACTAAATAACTGTGTAAAATCAACTGTACATGAAGCAATCAATTTCACACTTGTTTTCGCAAGTTTCTACTGTCCTTTGGTACAGTAAATTAAAATGAAAATGGAAGTACTGCAAAAAATAAAAAGGCATTTAACCAAGCTAACATTTGTAAAACATTATGTGTTTCCACATTGTTAGAAAAACAATTTCTTATGGGTGCCACAATATTCTGAGATTTTTTTTAAACTAATATCACTGCAGTTAACATAGTACTAATGCTTTCCAATGTAGCAGTCTATATTGAAAGTCTCTCTTAGTATTCAGTAAGCACGTGTGTATTACTAAAAATGTTCCAAAAGTCTTCCACTTCAACTCTTAAGCCAAAACCAATTAAATTAGAAGGGCAACTAAATCAGATGTCAGTAAGTAGTTCAGGTTTGGAGCTGCGTCAGCATGCGTAGGCTGCAAAGGAACAAGTAACAGGTTTATTCCCTGCTGAAAAAAAGAAGAAAGAAAACCATGGAGGCTCCACGGCCGAAACGTTGCGTTTTCTTTTTTCTTTTTTTTTTTCAGCGTGGAATAAACCTGTTACTTGTAGTATTTAAAAAATACATCTTGGTCTGTAGACTTAAAGAACATTTTATCCCTGGGTGGGATTTGCTTACCAATGAAAATGTTTATAATTCCTTTACAGCATTAAAGCAAAATTGAAGTATCATGGATTCACTAGTTTAACCTTTTAATTTCATTAGGCTGTAGCAGCCTGTGAATATTTATTTTTAGAATGGCAGCACTTAAAAATAAAAAGCACCAGACAAGTTTACAATATTAGTAATTATACATCCATGGTCATGCTACATGTCGGTGATAAAATTTCTATTGTAAGATGACAGTGAACCCGGTGATTTATGTGTCCATTGCAGTTTTATTTCTGCAACACTGCCTGTAATGTGGCCATGCATTAGACTGGATTTAAAATCCAGTTCTGCTGTCCTCTTTGAGGACTTAGCTCTCAATCATCTATCTGCAGCTGTGCCTTCTGCAGTTACATCTTGTCAGCTATACCATGAATTATAAAATGTTTTTTACATCATGACAAATGAAGTGAGATAAAGAGTGGTGACTAGGCAAGGCTTTTAGAAACATTTTTTTAGGCAGACCTAGTGTTGTCTTTTGTGTCCTTTCTTTCCACGTTCCGCTATTAGCAACATATCTTATTTGTTTGTTTCGAGTTAAAGTGGTTACATTAGCTTCTGAATTGCTCAAAGTATCAATAATAATGAAAAAGACATCTCAGTCTGTGAAGTGATGTGCAACATAATTAACCAGGATTTTCTATTTTACTTTGAAAGGTGATGCAACTTGTGAATTGTGAATGAATCCAGTAACTTCAAATAACACTACAGTAAATTGTGTGGAATGGATGATTCAGATTTTCTCCTTTGAAAAAGGGCAGTTATTTGTAATGCAAAAATCCATGAACCCCATTGTTTCCCTCCTTTTACTAGAGCATAGAAGATTTTCTGACTAATTTAGAGGCAGTATCAGAAGTTTGTGGAATTATGCTGAAGAAAGGAGACAAAAAGAAGGAAAGGTAAAAATAACTTTTGTTGTTTATTGACTGAAAAACCTCAAACCCACGACAAAACAGCTCGGTCTTTTGGAATATTTATTGAGCTCCCCTCAACTCACACATACACACGTTTGTTTACAATTGTTGTCACATCTTGACCTGTATCTCTCAGTCATTCCAGAGGATATAAGAAACATCCTCACCGATAACGTTCTAAGAAGAACTGTTTTTTTTTTGAGGTTGTAGTGAAATCAAATTGTGTTTGCCCATTTTATATCACTTTAAATCCTGGTGTTCTCTCTGTTTTGTCAGGCAAGCTCTCTTCCAGCACAGACAGGCGCTCACAGAACAGTTGAAAGTGACTGAGGATCCTGCCCTGGTTTTGCACCTGACGAGCGTTTTGCTGTTTCAGTTCACCACACACTGCATGCTTCATGCACCTGGTCGATGTGTGCCACAGATTATTGCTGCCCTGAGTGCCAAAATCTCCCAGGTACAGTATGCATTTTTAAAGATGGCTGTTTTCATCTCCAGAAAAATTGTAAGCATCTTTCATTTGGTTGAGCAACCCACTCGAACTTTTTCAATTTTGCTGATGACCTTCTGTGATGCTTTTGTTTAGAAAGCCAGAGCGAAGTTTGTAAGCAAAAAAGGGGTGATTTTATTACTTTGAAATAATTTTGTTTTATGCAAAATTATAAAAGCAAAATATAGTTTTCTAAACTGCCCAATGCAAAATAATGCTTTCTTGTTGGAAGAGCATTTTGTTATTCATCTGTGAATAATTTTAGATATTGGTTGTGCATATTTATTTATTCCGTGTGCACAGTTTTAGCTGGAAGAAAAAAAAAAGAATAATTGTGAAAATTGTAGTTGGGAAAAATACCCGTTGGTCTAAATCTTTTTTTAGGCATATAATATTTCAATTGTACACCTTTTCTAGTAAAATCATTTACATATCTTCCAGCCCTTACTGTGTTTCTATAACACCATAAAAATGTAACCCCTTGCCCAGAAACCATTTTTGTTATTGTAAGACCATGGTATCCTTCCCTATGGACTTCCCAGAATAGCACCCACTGAGACCCGAAGGCTAGACCAGAAATAAGTTTTCTCATGTCTCTTAGTAGCTGCAAATGTAATTTTATTCCAGAAGGCAGGAGGCCTTTTCATTTTTACAAGTTCTTCAAACTGCAGCCTAGAGCCCAGTATTTGTGAAGCAACGTGATGCCAATGTAACGCTATTAAAATAGGTTTTCAGGGGTGTCAAAGTGGATTAACCAGTAAAGGTGCTCTGAAGGATAATGTGCTGTATACTGTATATACATGTACATCTGTGCTCTGTAAAAGTGAAAAATAATTAAAGTGAAAGAAATTAATTCTGATAGGTAAATTAATGTATTTTTAATAGAGTAATTGAGATATTAATGTTGATACTTGATTCACCATTCCTTTTAATTATAAAAAATAAAAGCAAAATGTTTTACTTTTTTAATCTTTAACGTTGTGCTTGATTTGTGCCAGAGAGCCGGTGCTCAGCTCCAGCACCTCTCTGTTTTAGACTGTCTGCACTCCAAGCACAGCACTGGGTACTCCCTTGTCACATGAAGAAATAAAAATGCATGCTTACAATTAAAAATATCTTAAGAATAGACTTGAAGCACATCAAATCAGAATAGGCCACTGAGCCTTCCTGCATTGCTGATATGTGGCACACTCTGCCAGGGCAGACTGCAGCATTCACTGCAGGAGGAGTCTAAGAGGAGCTGCAGACACATATAAACACTTCTTTAAAAGAATAATATACATTTAATTAAAATAAACACCCAGGGCCGATTGATGCAAAACACACAGAACAGAACAGGTGCACAACAGAAAGGTAAGCCCACTATAAAAACAGCCTAAGAGTGGGTTCCACTTCTCCAGATATAAAAACACAGCTAAGGGAAAAGGCTTGTGGAACATACCAGAACTTAGGTACATTTAGCCACCTCTAGTTTTTTTTCTAAATCTAAAGGGAAAACAGTTGAAGACCATAGTCAGTGATCAATTGGAACATACATCTTGACACA